CCCTCCCTCCCTTCCTTCCTTCCTTCCTTCCTTCCTTCCTTCCTTCCTTCCTTCCTTCCTTCCTTTCATTTGCTCATTCATTTAACAGCTGTTTATTCAGCATTCACTATGTGCCAGGTGTGCATTAATGACATGAACACAAGGAAGAAAGCCCTCAGTTCCCTTCCCTAGAGGAGCTTATTATAATCTTTCATACAAAAGCGATATAATGTAAAACAGACCATGGAGGCCTGCCGAGGGTATAAGAGGAGCACAGAGGAGGATGCACCCAAGTTTGAGGACTGAAGGCAGAACTCATCAAAGAGGACGGCTGAGCTGGGTTTTAGAGGAGAAAACAGAAGTTTATCAGGATGACAAAAGTGAGACTAGCTTCCCAAGCAGAGGAAACAAGAAGGTATAGATAAGAGAACAGGGCAGAAGTGCAAATAGTAGGGCATTTCTGGAGTATAGAGCTCCACTTGGGGAGAGACTTCAGGCTTAGGTAGGCCCTTGCACGTCGGTCACTCTACACAGCTCACCTTTTTCCACGGGGCATTAGCAAACCAGTGGGGGCCTGCAATGATGTGAGGAGGCTCACGTATTTGGAAGATCAGCCTGGAGGCAATGTGGGGAGTAGAAGATGGCAGGGGTAAGGAGAGCATTAAGGAGCCAGCTGCAATATCCCAGGAAATAGATGGACTACTGTGCAAGCTACATAGAGGTATGACCAAGATACTACTGTTTATCACTGTGTTCCCCATCCTTAGCATAGTGTCTGGCACACAGTAGTTGATAAATAAATATTTGGTGACTATCTTACTACTTTAATGGTCGAATACAAATGAACTGAGTTAATGGGCACAAAGAAGGGGGATAGAACAGAAATGTGAGAGACAGAAGAGGAAAGACTTGGTGGCTGCCTGAGCAGATAGCACAGTGTGAGAACATGGGCTCTGAACTTGATCCAACACTCACCACCTCGGCATGGAGCACAGTATTTCTTTAAGCCTCACGTCTTCATATGTAAAACAGGAATTACAAACTTACCTATTTTGAGCGGGGGTTAAGTGAATGTAAAGTGCTTAACACCAGTGCTTGGCACATAGTAAGTGCTCAATAAATGCTAGCTATTGTCACTTACACTGAGGAGAGAGGAACAAAGTGCTATGCTGTTTGAAAGAATGCCATGGTGACAAACGAAGATGAGAAAAGCGAGGCCTAGCGAGTTCGGCTCAGTGGTTAGAGAGCATCGACCTGTGGACTGAAGGGTCTCGGGGTTGATTCCAGTCAAGGGCACATATCTCAGTTGTATGCTCAATCCCCAGCTCCAGTTGGGGGCATGTGGGAGCAGCCAATCGATGTGTCTCTCTCACATCTATGTTTCTCTCTCTCTCTCTCTCCCTTCCACTCTCTCTGAAAAGCAATGGAAAAAATATCCTGGGGTGAGAATTAAAAAAAAAAAAAAAAAGATGAGAAAAGAAAGAAAGGGAGGTTTGTAGGATTATATTAAATCTTCATGAAGGTTTAATAGGACCAACCACAAGGACCAAATACACTTTTATGTAATGGACTTGTAGAAAATGCAATTCTGTGTTTTAAAATTTTGCAATATGAGAAACCAAAGAGTGTGTGTAATCTATATGTGTAATTTCAAGAATCACAGTAAAAGACGCACCTCTTGCTCACCACTAGCTTAAGAAATGACACATTTCAATAACCTTGAACCCCGGGGTGCTCCTCTGAATCACATCACACCCTTATTCTCCAAGAGGAAACCACTTTTTTGAACTTGGGCTCAATCATTCTCTCGCTTCTCTTTATAGTTCTGACTTGTATGTATGTATGTATGTATGTGTGTATGTAGGCCTAAACAATGTATTCCTTAGCTTTGCATATTTCTGAGTGACATATAAATAGAATCATAACGTACATTCTTCACAACTGGCTTTTGCTCAGCATTAAGCTTGTTTAGATTCATCTCTGCTGATGTCTGTAGCAACAGTTCATTAATTTTTACTGATGTGAGATTCCATTTTATGAATATACCGTAATTTATTTATCCACTCTCTTAACAGTCGGACAACTGGTTTGTTTCCAGTTATTTAGATATTACAAACAACGCTTCCTGGAGCACAGAGGCAAGAGATTGTTCTAGGAATATGCACTTAGAAACCGAATTGCTGATTTACAAGGTTTGTTCACCCTCTTTGCTAGAGAGTGCCCGTTTGTTTTCCAAAGCGTCGCACCAGTTTTGAAAGGCTTCAAGGACGGCGGATCAGGCCAAACACTTGAAAATGTTTCAAATTAATCCACCCATCAGGACTGACCAGGTAAACGGGAGCACATGTTAGGCACGCTCTCACCTCCGCGCGGGCCTCGGCGTCGCAGGCGATGGCAGCGACGGTGAGCGCGGCCCTGCTCTGCACGAGCATGTTGGCGGAGCGCAGCGGGCCGCCGAGCGCGCCCATGGCCTCGCGGCTCTGGATGCTCACGCGCAGGGCCTCCTGCATGGCCATGTTCGTCAGCACGGTGGCGGCGTTGGCGACGGCCCCATCCCGCCTGCTGGACAGGGTGTTTATTAAGGGATCGATAGCATCAGCTTCAGCAGCGGCACTGGGGAGACGAAGGTGAAATGCATGTCATTCGTCCAAGTGCAAGAAATTATTTTCGGAGTGTGCAACTGAGCTTATAAAACAAATGAGTACATAAATACAATTTTAGAAATAAATTATCCATTAATATATTAACATTTTCTCTCATTAGAAAGATTAAATCTCCGTTTAGGAACATCATACTTTCTATAGTCCTTGCTTTGTAAATATTTAAAAAGACATAAAATAGTAAAAACAAAAAAGAGATCATTTTAATAAGCAGAAAACAATTTAATTATGTGCTGTAATGTTTGAAATGGTTTCAAATAAGAGCTGTTCCAAGCAATAAGATATATAGAGCATCCTGGTTTTAAAGGAATACCCCAAATTGTGTGCTACACATCGATTTAAATCACTGTGGGATGAGCCCAGAATTCAGGCTCTAGTGATTGAAATGAAGTCTGGGGGAAAGTCAGGTATAAATGAATTTAAGCAATCATTTTCCTACATCTACAGCTGTTGGTTACAGAAAAATGTAGGACTACTTCTTAGAAACCCTTCTGCTGTTCATTTTTTAAATCAGTGATACTTACCAGACCCGGCAATTCTGTTAAAAGAAAGTCTGTTAAAATATTCCTAACTAGTAGAAAAACCAGCTTTAAATAGGAGGAATGAGTGAGCATGGGAACTCTTGATTAAGTTAAAATTCTTTAGCCCATCTTCCCCTTTTTCAGATTAGGTTGCTAATTACAGGCAGAGGTTAACACATTTGAGGGCAGCAAACCATTCTGCATGTGAATATTGCTTTTACAAATTAAACATCAAAAATCAAAGACATGACATTGACATATAGGTAATTTCAGTAATGTAGGCATATTCAGTTGTTAAATTTCCTATTTCTAGTATAAAAAGACTACAATTATCCATTAATATATTAACATTTTCTCACATTAGAAAGATTAAATCTCTGTTTAGGAACGTCATACTTTCTATAGTCCTTGCTTTGTAAATACTTAAAAAGCTCATAAAATAGTAAAAACAAAAAAGAGATCATTTTAATAAGCAGGAAAACAATTTAATTATATGCTATAATGTTTGAAATGGTTTCAAATAAGAGCTGTTCCAAGCAATAAGATATATAGAGCATCCTGGTTTTAAAGGAATACCCAAAATTGTGTGCTACACATCGATTTAAATCACTGTGGGATGAGCCCAGAATTCAGGCTCTAGTGATTGAAATGAAGTCTGGGGAAAAGTCAGGTATAAATGAATTTAAGCAATCATTTTCCTACATCTACAGCTGTTGGTTACAGAAAAATGTAGGACTACTTCTTAGAAACCCTTCTGCTGTTCATTTTTTAAATCAGTGATACTTACCAGACCCGGCAATTCTGTTAAAAGAAAGTCTGTTAAAATATTCCTAACTAGTAGAAAAACCAGCTTTAAATAGGAGGAATGAGTGAGCATGGGAACTCTTGATTAAGTTAAAATTCTTTAGCCCATCTTCCCCTTTTTCAGATTAGGTTGCTAATTACAGGCAGAGGTTAACACATTTGAGGGCAGCAAACCATTCTGCATGTGAATATTGCTTTTACAAATTAAACATCAAAAATCAAAGACATGACATTGACATATAGGTAATTTCAGTAATGTAGGCATATTCAGTTGTTAAATTTCCTATTTCTAGTATAAAAAGACTACAATTATCCATTAATATATTAACATTTTCTCACATTAGAAAGATTAAATCTCCATTTAGGAACGTCATACTTTCTATAGTCCTTGCTTTGTAAATACTTAAAAAGCTCATAAAATAGTAAAAACAAAAAAGAGATCACTTTAATAAGCAGGAAAACAATTTAATTATATGCTATAATGTTTGAAATGGTTTCAAATAAGAGCTGTTCCAAGCAATAAGATATATAGAGCATCCTGGTTTTAAAGGAATACCCAAAATTGTGTGCTACACATCAATTTAAATCACTATGCAATAGAGGTAATCAAGACAATCAAAGCATACTTGAAACTCCAGTAAATCGACATCTCTTTTAAGTTTATATTTGACACATTTTTTTTCATTTAAGATCGTATTAATAACCAAAATTGAAAGAAGAAAAAAAAGTGAGCCTATTTGATTTAGCCCCTCGCCCTATATTCTGATGAACTGATTTTAATTTGGCACTGTCACGTAAATTTGCTGATTGTAAAGGAGAATTGACAAATTCAAGAATAGAAATTATCACAATTATCCAGAAAACAAATTCTCAATAAGGAGACTGGTAGCTCTAGGTGAAAGAAGCTATGGTTGTGGCACAAACCAGCTCTGAAAGAGCCTGAACAGCAGAGATTGGGGACGGAAGTGACAAGAGGTGGCAGCTCCGGAGAATAAAAGGTCTGGGTTGGTGTTAGCCTTAAAGGAAACACACACACTGACACCAAGGCAAAGTCAGCACCCAGTTCCATTTCTCCTATACTTGGTGTATATTTAACCCTTTTTGTGGTATCTCTGGGAAGGCATCCCTTAAAGCTAATATTTGGTTAGATGACATTTAACCCAAATTTATTGATATAAAAATACTGGGGGAAGGCCCTGCATCTCAATATGATGACCTGAGGGACAGCATTTAATTTCCTTTCTTAGGGGATAAAAGGAACACGTTTAACATAATTTCACTTTTAATTCGTTCTCTTATTGTTAATTGACATAGTGGTCTTTTGATTTTATGAATAAATGAAAATTTGGGAGCTCTGACATGTTTGTTTATCATAAATTCATCACATTCAGCTTACAGTTGAAACACTGAATTAAAAAAATACTTCCAGCAAGAATTTTAACTGATGAATATATTCTAATTAATTAATATATACTTAAACCTTTCCAAAAAATCATTTTTCCTTTGACTCATTTTTCAGGTACTTACTGTAATCAGTTCCTTAAACCAAATACTTTTTAGTTTTAAATTATTATAAACATACCTTAGCTAAAATGTATGAGTCCTTTGCCACTTAATGGTTTTTCCTTTGACAGTGTTCACTTTGGAGAGTAAAGAGAGAGCACACATGCATCCCTGACAGAAGCCAGAGTACGTCAGGTAAACACAAACCAATGAATTCTCAAGGCTTTCTCTCTTGTGTGGATCAGGGAGCTTTTGGAAAATTTAAGTGAGTATATGGGGTCATGCTGTCTTGTTTGAATTTCTCTTGTTTGTAAATAAATGGGGTCATGGAACTGCGGGGATTTCTCATCAGGTGTGCCTCTGCTCACAGTCTTTCCACTTGGGTTTTGTCTCTGCCTTTCTCCTGTACAAAGTCATAGTAGGCTTTGGTTCATTTACAATCCACCTTCTGCTTTTTTCTTCGCTCTTTATGGAGGCAGTAAAGGGAAGTACATAAAAACCTAGCTATTTAAAAAACCAAAGATTCTCGTAACACAGTGGAATATAGCCTTTACTAAATCGAACATAACTGCCAGGGCAGAAAGACAAATCACACACGCGCAGCTGGGAGCACCACTGGCGTGATACTTACATATCTGCCCATAATTTATGTGCAGCTCTGTTTATGTGTAAAAACCATCACTGAGGTTAAATTATTATGGTAAAAAATCAAGCTATTATTTTTACCTAAAAAACTTATTTCAGTTCTAAAAAAATGCAGAATTTGTACTTAAAAAAAAAAGCATTAATTTTGTGTCTTTCAAACCCAAGACAGTTTTATTTTTCCCTGTCTTTTATATACACAAGCTGAAGTCTGTCGTATTTTAAAACACATTTCAGTTTCCTAGATAGTACAGTGTTATCCAAATGAATGGGACAGAAGTCAAACTACTTTGTTACAAAATCCAGAATTACAGGGCCATATGTCATTACAATAATCTGAAAATGTTTTCTGATATTTACTATCATTAGTCTCCATCCAGTTGGAGTTTAATCAAGTAAGAGTTTAAAATGTAAATTGAAAGAACCACCAAGCTAAAATCAGAAAAGGGAATGTACAAAAACATCTGTTTGGAGCATTTGATATATGTAAAAAGAAGTCAAGTTTGACATGTCATGTGTATCCAATCTATTACCACGTCCTGACTGTTTTCCACCTCCATATTTCTCAAACTGCTCCCTTTTCTCCATTTCCATCTCTCCCTCTGAATCCCCTCCACTGTACTCTCTGGTGAATTAGTATAAATACTGTCCTGACAGGTCTCTCTTCTTCCTCTGCAGTCCTTTCTTTATCTTGCAGCTAAAGTGATCTTTTAAAATTATAAATATAATCATATTGCTCCTCTGCTTAGAACTTCCATAGCTTCCCATTGCTCAGATGAAGCTCCAGATTTCTCACATGGCTGCCAGGCCCTGCATGAGCCAAGCCTACCTCTCTCACCTGCCCGGGTTCCCTCCCACCCTCTAGTTGCTCTGTGCTCTGGGCCTCTGATTGGCCGGGCTCTGTCTCATCTCAGGGTGTTCCCATATGTTGTTCCTACTTCCTGACACTCTTCCCCCTGGATATTCCCATTTATCTTTCAAGGCTCACACAAATGTCTCAAGGAAGCATTTCCTGACCTCAAAACTAGGTTAGATCTCTTTTTTATATGAGCTCAGAGCATTTATTTACTAAACATATATAACTTTATTTTTGTTTAAAAAAAAAATGCTTGGCACAGATGTTCACCATCAGAGAATAGCAGCAATCTTGAAATATTATTTTACAGCACTTGTTATAAAAAGGAATTCAGCACAAAGTTTTTTAGATAAGTACCCTTACAGCATGGGCACTAAGAACATTATTAAAGGAAAATCCAATTACACAAATAGTGTCTAGTTACGGTTCACTGAAAATACTGTGTGATTTCATGTCTGTGTGCCTTTGCACTCGTTCCCTTTATCCAAAACACCCTTCCCCAGCCCTCCTGCACCTCTCCCTGAGGAACTCTAGTTCACCCTTCAAAACCTGCTCAGACACCCTTTCCTCTGCAAAGTCATCTGTGGCCATCGCTACCTCTCCTTGTTAATCACTCCCTCTGCTGTG